GTGTTCCTAGCCTAGCAACCCACATCATGCAATCTTCCTCAAACCGCAAAGCGGTTGCAAAATAGAGTTTTGCAAACAACATCCAGGCACGTCTATGGAGATTCTCGGTCATCCAGATCATGGTGGTCCCAAAGGTGCTACTTTTTTTTTTTCTTTGAAGACATTTTGCTTCTCATCCAGGAAGATTCTTCAGTTCTGAGAACTGAACTGAACCCGAACTGAAGAAGCTTCTTGGGAGAGAAGCGAAACGTCTTCAGAGAATAAAGAAGATCCAGGTGCCTTTTAGGTGTCGTTTTGTGTCTGCTTGCTGTTTGTTTTCTGGGCAAAAACTGGAGAGCAACGTCATTCCCCATATTAGAAGCAGCCATAACAACAATAGGAGCAGGAAAAGGGGACAAGGACATCAAGATTTTCGCTCCAGATTTTGGCTCATTTCCCCTGTTGCTCAGCCCAGCCTTGAAGAAACACAAAAGGGAATCAAATCATAAGTCACAGCTCTGGATGTGTCATTAGTGACTCAATCCTTGCATTTCTGGAATAGAACCAAACGTCCAATTTGACAGAGAAACGCGTGTTTTTTCAGTTGAATGCGGTTTTACTCATCCAGTGAATTTCAGTTCTAAGAACCAGTTTTTTCAAGCAGAAACTAGTCAGATATGTATTTTTCTAAATTCAGGCGTGGAAGCATGGCATGGCAGACACAAGTATTGGAGCATTCACCGCTCCTGGAGGCAGGTTGTTCCACTGGTTAATTGTTCTAATTGTCAGGAAGTTTCTCCTTAGTTCTAGGTTGCTTCTCTCCTTGGTTAGTTCCATCCGTTGCTTCTTGTCCTGCCTTCAGGCGCTTTGGAGACTAGCTTCACTCCCTCTTCTTTGTGGCAGCCCCGAGATATTGGAACACTGCTATCCTGTCCCCCCTCATCCTTCTCTTCGTTAAACTAGACATCCTTTCTTACGGACATGGCCAGTGAACTTGGGGGTGTGGAGAAGAACAGAACTGAAGACTTCCAAAACATCACTTCACTTTCTACTGACGTTAGCACCGCCTGCCATAAGCAATGTCCTTTATTATATCCACATCTGGATTCCCTTCACGTCCCAGGAAAGACAACAACCTGGTTTTATATATACTTTTATATACCTCTTCTCCTCTCTCTGGAACACCGGGCAGTTTCAGTTTGCCTACTCTGATATGCACTTCAGAATCACACACGTATGGATAGAATATGATTTGTTCCCCCCTACCACCCCAAGCTGGGAATTAAGGAAAATTTCAAAGAATTCAGAAACAGCTTAAATAAAAGTTAAAAACTAAATCGTAGAGAGGCTTGGAGAAAGCTGTGTCACTCAAACCCGGTTTTTCAGAACGGCTCTCCAACTGTGATACCTAATTTGGTCCCGTAGTCAGTGGTAGGATTCAAATAGCCGGTTCTCTGTGTGGAGGCTGCTTCCGGAAGTCCATTCTGGACTTGGGCAACCAAAAATTAGTTACCGGTTCTGCCGAAGTGGTGCAAACCCGCTGAATCCCACCACTGCTTATAGTGCTCTTGAAGCCGGTATTTAACATTTATTTATTTATCAAATGTACTTATCAAGGAGGGAGAGCAATGGCTCAGCACTTAAAGACACTAAGCTTGCCAGCTGGAAAGCTGGCAGCCCAGGGTGGAGACACGAGCTCCACGCAAAGGGGTGAGCTCCCGTTCCTTGCCCCAGCTCCTGACCTTATAGCAGTTTGAAAGCATGCAAATGTGAGTAGATCAATAGGTACCAGTCCAGTGGGAAGGTAACAGCATTCCATGTGCCTTTGGTGCATAGACATGCTGACCACATGACCACAGAAAATGTTTTTGGATAATGCTGGCTCCCTCGGCTAAGAAACAGAGATGAACACCGCCCCGTAGAGTCGGAGAAGGTTGGACGGGGGAAACCGTTACCTTTTATTTATCAAGGACTCTAAAGCCCATCTTGATCCCAGGCCCATGAAAATCCCCCAGCGACATGAGGCATCAGGACGAAGCGTGTTCATTTCCAGAAAATGAAAGAGGAGAAAAACTCCACAGAGCTTCTTTCTGTTGTTTGTTTTGAAGATCACATTTTGAGGTGTCTTAGAAATGCTCGGCTAGCAGTTGTGAATAGTAGGGGCTGTCCCCAGTAGGATGAGTAAGAAGAACAGAGATGGCCTAACCAAGGAAGGGGAATTCACATGTTTTTGGCGGGCCTACTAATACCCTGGCTCTGTCCTGACATTCTGGTCACAAGAATCAGAGCAGGATGGTGGTGAGCAGGATGGGATCAGCAGAAGCTTTCACGCCTTCCTTCTCTTGGCACATGGGGGGAATGGCCTACAGTTCCTCGGGTTGAAACTGGAAAGCCAGCACCAAACAGGCTGCTGAAGAAGACGGCTTACTCCAAGGAAAGCTTCAACCTCTCAACGTCTCTCTTCCTGGACTTTTCCGCACTCAAGGTTTGAAGAAGCACTGCTCTACCCTGAGGTTAGTTGTCTCCCCTACGTTGGCCAGATGCCTTCATCAAAATGTAAGCTCTCACTTGCCATCTGTAGTGCTGCAGTTAAGAACAAGATGGGGAAATGTGGCAGCCTGGGAAACATAGTTTAAGAGCCAGCCCTTGGGTTCTGTCATTGTTCCCCACAGCTGAGGAAGTGCTAGGCAGGCCAGCCTTGACCCACAGAGCATGCACCCCCTTCTTAGCTTTCTTTCTTCCTGAAGCAGGAAGGAAGAGCCTCCCTCATCATCTGTGGTTGCCAGACCACAGCTGAGCAGGTGCATTAATGCTTCCTCTCTTTAAACCACTTGAATGGAGCGCTGTTATACTCAATGAGTTCCAAGCTGGACGGAGAATCTGTAAAAGTCTGGCTCTTGCAACCGTCTGAGGGTAGTCCCGTGTCTTGGGATGTCAGAATGGTCTTGTGGGTTTATGGCTAGAGCTGATATGTTGCTCGGTAGCCAGAGCATCTGGCTGGAGTATCTGAGCAATGGTCCATGTTGGGCCACTGCAGGCAAGCTTTGATTGTTGGTACAGTTAAATCCAGCTGCTCAAGATGCTGGAATTTCTAGATCAGGAACCAGATAATTCTGCCTGCTGTTGTAAATTTCCAGATGACCTGGGTTAAATCAGCAAGGTTTGGGGGCTCCATTCCACTTACTCAGACCTGTTGGAGAAAGGAATGAAGTTTGAGTAAACAGGAGTGGGGGGGGGGAATTACATAGGCAGCTGATATCTCTGTTGAGTTAGCATTTTGATCTTATCTTAATTTAATTTTGTTTGAATTTATCTTGATTTTATTTTAAATTTAATTTAAATATCCAATTTGGATTTAAGGGCTAAAGATTGTTGAATTCTAAGCATAAGCAGAAGGTCCATTTGCTGGGATTGGTGTGGAGGGGAAGTCTACTCCTTTTGTTTCAAAGTTAAAGCAGACCTTGTTGAAGTGTCTTCCACACAACCTCTAGATAATAACTTAAGGCATAATTTTTTAGATGTTAACCAAGCTTATACATATCTATCCTCTTGAGGGATTTTCAATCGACCAAGCAACATTTGTTCATGGGCAATCATGGTTTATTTTCTCCTTCCAAGTTGAATAGCCTGATGAGCTCACAGGAAGAGGCTAGCACTTAATGATGGTGCCCCGACTTTGCCAGAAAAAAAATTGTCATTCATATTTTTGAAATCCATCGCTGTTATTTTTCAGAACTGTACCATCTCTTCTGGGACTTAGGAAGTCAGCATCTACTACAAGCTTTTTAGAAATGCCAGGGCAGGAACTACTGACTTTCTTCTGCCAAGCGGTCTCTCTTTTTAACCATGGATGTTTATTTGTTGTTTTTGTTCCAAAAGCAATGGAGGAAACTCCAGATCCTGATGTAAACAGGCTGCTCAGTAATTGGTGTAGGATCTGTCCAATAATACCAACAGCTACATCTGATTACTGGGTCTCCTGTGGCATCGCAGCCTACTGCAATCTTCAACCCTTGAGACACCCAACAACCGGATTTGTTCCTTCCAGGAGTCATTTTTCTACCCATGTGTTTCTCAACCTCCAAGCAAGGAAAGAGGGACAAATTTAAGAAATGTGTCCCATCCACCGTCCCATTGGCATCCATGGCAGCCACTCATGCTTTATTTTACAGGCTGTTGAATAAGTCAACTTAAGCGCCCTGCATCCCTGGTCCTGATGCTAGAAACCCATTTAATAATTGGTATTATTCTCAGTTAGATACCCTTGTAGAAGGAAAAAGTAATTCTTCCTTTCTCACAGGATACTACACTAAAATCTTTTTTGTGTTGCACAGGCCAGGACTTGCAAACGTCATAATGTTGCAATAAATTAACTTTTTCAAAGAATGTTGCTTTGCCTTATTTACTTTCCCACGGCAGCGTGTAGATATTGTGGAATGTTATTTGGATCTGGCTGGGGCCTTTTAATGAAATTGGATGGCATTGGTAATTCTACCAATTGCATAAATCATTCCACACATTAATGGTACTTTTTGAGAGCTGAATGCAATGAAATTTCATTTTAATGTATGCTGAAAGTGACTATTCTATTCTATTCTATTCTATTCCATTCTATTCTATCTGTTCTATTCTGCTCTATTCTATTATTCTATTCTATTTGTGTCAAAGTTTTTTTTAAAAAACTCTGCATATGCTCTGAGCCACGCTATTTCACTGAGGCTGCTGCCTGGTTCATTGCACAGTAAGGAGGGCATTCAGCGGCACAGGGCGGTGAAGTGGGGAAAAAAAAAAAAACCCTCTGCACACGATCAGAGACACCATTTCGCCCCGATCCGGGTTCAGCCCCGCTTTCCTAGCACCGAGGGGGGCGGAGCCCAGCCCGATGACGCCACAACCCCACCCCCGTCAAGCCCCGCCCACGCGGCCGTCGCCTAGGTGACCCACAAAAAAAAAAGCGCCGCGTCTGCCGGGGCGGCGCGTGCTAGTCGGGTCCCTCCACGCGCAGGCAAGAGCGCGCATGCGCCCGCCGGAGCGCGATGGAGGGGTCCGCCTACCCGGGGGAGGAGGAAGAGGAGGAGGAGCTGGAGCCGCCCTACGGCCGCGGCGCCCACTCGTGCTCCTCCCTCATCCGCCTCGAGCAGGAGGCCAAGCGCAGGAAGCGGGCGCAGCAGCAGCAGCGATGCCTCTACACCATCATGCCAGGTGAGGGCCTCCCGCCGGCCCCTTTCCTCCCCCTCCCTCCCTCCCTCCCTCCGCCGTTCGGGGGGGGTAAAGGAGTGACGTCACCGCGGGAGGGGGAGGAGGGTCTTCGGCTGGCTCCGCCCCCTTAGGCTTTCCCTTTACCCCCCCCCTTGAGGATGAGTTGGCTTTGCTGGTGCCTTCTGCACCTGTTGGGACTCCCTTACCCATCTTCCCCGGCCTCTGGGAGGGAGGACCGCACGCCTCTACCCCTGCTGGCTGGTCCTACCTTACAGGGGTGTCAGGAAGATGCCCCGGGGGGCGGGGAACGGAATCAGGGAGGTTCCCTTGAAAGCTGCTGGAGGAAATCCATTTCCATGGATGGTTCCAGAGAGGCATTGAAATTATTATTATTATTACTATTATTATTACTTTTATTTTACTGTTATTACTAGTATACTATTATTATTATAATTATTACTGTATTTTTTAAAAAAATCCCTGGCTGGGCAATTCTGGGAGTTGAAGTCCACCTGGCTTAAAGTTGCCAGGTTGGAGAAAAAACACTGAAGTAGATAATTATTATTATTATTATTAGTAGTAGTAGTAGTAGTAATAATAATGATAATATAATAAAGTTGGAAAGTACCTTGGAGGCCATCTAGTCCAACCCCTAGGAAACCCTATACCGTTTTGGACAAATGGCTGTCCATTTGTGGTCCTAAATTTGAACACCCCTTGCTTGTGCTACTCTGAGATGCCTAATAGTTTATTTGGCATCATCTTACTATTTTTCTTTAAAAAAAAAAAAAAAGCTCCTCTCCACTAATGTGTACTTAATATATTACTATATCCCACTTTATTGTGTACATTTGTACAACATCACAATTAAGCATCCGGGGAGGTTGTTTTGCATTTATTTAATTGCCCAGAGATTTCTCATGGCAACTCAGAACATTCCCTGACTCATTTCACCTCACCATAACTCTCTAGGGCAGCCGTCCTTAAGTTGCAGGCAATTGCCCCAAAGGGGTAATTGGTACATATCCTGCAGGAAATTGGAGCAATTTAGAATGGACCCAATTTGGGACTGCTGCTGCCAAGACCCTTGTTTAAACAAATTGTGTGTATGCACACAAACGCGTGTTGGGAGTAATGACAGTATTTGAGACCAGGAAAAGGGATAATTGGATCAAACCATTTAGAAACCACTGCTCCAGGGAGTTCTAGGTTTCCTTTATACAGGTCTTGTGTAGTTAATATTAGTTGTGTTGATCCAGAACTGTGATGTCCTGTTTGTGGCTTTGCCACATCCAAAGTGGGGTTGGAATTGGGAAGAAGAAGCAGCCACCATCAGTTCAGGACTTCCCTAAAGCCCTGTTCATTCTTAAGTCTGTTTCAACTCGGCTCTCGGATTTGTAGCTGGAAATAACAAAAGCCTTCACTTTGCTTTTATTGCACTCCCCGCTCATCCTTTTGGCTTGTACAGTAAAAATAAAACGGGCCTATTTTCCTTAGTGATTCAAAAACCATGTTTGGTGAGATGTTGCTGTCCTTTGCATTAACCCAGCCCTATCCTTTTCAGAAATTTATTTTACTTATTTATATGTACATTTTCCTTTTGGGTGGGGGAAGGGCTCAAAAGGATTGCTCAGACAGTCCTGCCGAGTGTGTTTCGTTGAGAGAGTGTGACTGATGATCAAATGTTACTCATCTGTGTGTATAAATGGGGCATCTGACGTACGGTAGCCTGCATCCTAGGTATCAGTTTACACAGACCTTGGCTGCACTAAAAAATACTGCTCTTGAAAATTTCTCCACTCAGCTAACTTACAGGTTGGGTTCTTCATATGATTTAGCTGGAGACTAAGCATATGAAGAGGGAGTCAAGCTATTTTCCAAAGCGCCTGAGGGCAGGACAAGAAGCAATGGATGAAAACTAATCAAAGAGAGAAGCAACCTAGAACTAAGGAAGAATTTCCTGACAGTTAGGACAATTAACCAATGGAACAACCTGCCTCCAGAAGCTGTGAATGCTCCAACATTGGAAGTCTTTAAGAAGAGACTGGACAGCCATTTGTCCGAAATGGTATAGGGTTACCTGCCTCACCAGGAGGTTGGACTAGATGACCTCCAAGGTCCCTTCCAACTTTATTATTATTATTATTATGGATCATCGCACAGTCAGCCAGATGTTCAGACTGGATTTGGCATTTTGTCTACCTCTCAAGTCCTTACCCAGGACCTGGGATAGGCAGATGTGGATGTTTGATGGTATTACAGGTATCGTCGCAGGATGAACGATACCTGTATTATTATTATTATTATTATTATTATTATTATTATTATTATTTTAGACTGCTTGCAGGAATTGAGCATGGCTAGTCTAGAGAAAAGAAGGACTAGAGGCGACATGATGGTGTGCAAATGTTTGAGGGGCTGCCACAAAGAAGCGTGTGTGTGTGTGTGTGTGTGTGTCAACCTATTTTCCATAGCACCAGAAGACAGAAGTAAGAAGTATGGTGGAAGCTCATTAAAAGAGAGAAGCAACCTAGAACTAAGGAGACATTTCTGACAGTTACAACAATTAATCAGCATAATGATTTGCTTCCAAAAGTTGTGGGTGCTCCATCACTGGAGGTTTTTATGAAAAGACTGGACAGCCACTTGTCTGAAATGATATAGGACAGTGGTTCTCAACCTTTTTAATGCCGCAACCCCCAACCGGTCGTAAGTCGAGGACTACTCAACTGGTGCAGTACCGTTTGCAGAATGGGGCTTTTGGCGGGCTCAGCAGGGCAGAGAGAGCCTGGACAATTCCTATTGGCTTTTGAAAACCAATAGAATTAGACTCTATTCAAGAGAGTCTATTCTATTGGCTTTCAAAAGCCAATAGAATAAAAGGGAGTAGCACAGCTAAGGAAAAGAGGAAAAAAATGGCAGACTGCGTTGTTTGGCGACCCCCGTGAAATGGTCGTTTGACCCCAAATGGGGTCCCGACCCACAGGTTGAGAACCGCTGGTATAGGGTCTCCTGCTTGAGCAGGGGGCTGGACTAGAAGACCTCTAAGGTCCCTTCCAACTCTGTTCTTCTCTTAAGTTCTGTTTAAAAAAGCAGAGGTTCTCAATATGCCTCTTTGTGATTTTGCAGCTTGAAAGTAGATTGTGGGAAGCAGTTCAAAATCCACGATTTTGAGTAATATCTTTAATAGCGACAGACCAAAGCAGAATAAAAGAATGTGCAATCTTCCAAATTCTTCAGAACACCTAATTTTTCTTTTCTTTTTCTGTTGTTCCGGTGCACCTTCTTTTTCTCTAGTGTTTTCCTGTTTTTCTTTTTTTTATAAATTTTATCTTTGGCAGAAGTGTAACAAAGTATATTTTTAAAAAAACAAGCTACAGAGGGAAGGAAAGATGCATAGCAAGAAATACAAAACTAACACAATACATTAGGTCATTTGCAACGAACAATACAGCAAGTTTAAAACCATTAAAAATTGTGGTAATGAGATCAATATCAAGAACTCATTTGACAAATTTTAGAACATGCTAATTTAGATTTATTTATTGCAGCTAAATAATTTCTTATTGAAAACCAAAGGGAAAACAAGCACAATGCAAAACAGCTCAAAGCTGCACTCTTTAACTAATAGTAATTCTAAACTAAAAGACAGTGATTCCTTTTATTGTTTCAGAAGTTTCTGGATTTCAGTTCACATTAATTTTCAGTATACATAGTTTTGGATGTAATGTTTTGGAAAGCAAAGTAGCGAATGAATAGAATAGAATAAAATAAAAATAGGAATGGAATGGTAATAGAATAGAATAGAATAGAATAGAATAGAATAGAATAGAATAGAATCTTTAAATGTACACTAATCAGCATACATTAAAATAAAATTTTGTTGCATTCAGCTCTCAAAAAATGAAACTTTGTTTCCATTCTGGTTATTAATATATTTGCATTCCATGTTAGTGGATACAAATAAACTCTACAACAACAACAACAAATTGTATCTTATGAATTGTGTTCTGGAAAACACAAACATTTGTGTACTCTTGAGCTATTTAGTTGGTCCTCATTAAGTATTCAGCATTTCTGATTTTTCTCTGTCCCCATGGCTTGTATTTTTTGTTGTTTTTGTTGTTGTTGTTATGAGCTAACACTTTCTGGAAGGAAGTTCAGATGAAAAGTTCTTTTCTGTAATACTGGGCTTTGCACCCAATACAATTGCAGTCATTGTTATTTAAGATGATAATAACTGAACATGTTTAACAGAAACAGATGTACAATGTTAGAACTGGAAAGTGCCATTTAGAAGAGCCTATGAAATAAGTCAACATATTTATTGCAGTTCTCCAAGCTCCTCTGTCTACATTCATCTCTATTAAATTTATACATTTATAGACAGACATAATAGAGATATTGTAACTCCTGATAGTCAGCAGTGAGTTAGCTTGCAATGCTGCATTCTAACCACTGCACCAACATGGCTAAAATATGCTAGGCTAAAATATACTTGGCTTGTTTGTGATTGGATTATGATTTATTAATATTCTTGCCAGTGAGGCAAATCATTGCTTTTTTCCCCCCAAATGATGTCATTTTTTATTTGCTCCATAAATTATGGGGAACAATCCATGGATGAGAGCAGGGTGTGAATTGCATTTGTGAAAGTAGCGTCTGCCATTTCATTTCTTTTTGCATTTTATTATTATTTTTTTTAATCACCTTATGATTTTTACCCTGATTTTTCAGGGAGGCAGAATAGTGATGAGGATGTGCTGGACCTGGCTGAATACACAAAGAATCAACCGTGGTGGCGCAAACTATTTGGGCCGAGTTCAACGTCCAGTGAAGAAAAATACAACGTGGCCACCCAGCTGGCGATTGGAGGCGTCACGGGATGGTGAGGCTGCTCCGTGTGCTGGTTGTCCTCAGATTGAATGATGGGTGAGAGATGACAGGGACTGGCCCAGGGTCACCCAGCGGCTTCATTCCCAAGGCAGGATTAGAACTCACTGTCTCCTGGCGATTAGCCCAAAGTCACCCAGCTGCCTTTCATGACTAAGGCGGGATTATGATTCCCAGTCTCCTGGCGATTGGCCCAAAGTCACCAGCCGCCTTTCATGGCTAAGGCGGGACTAGGATTCCCAATCTCCTGGTGATTGGCCCAAAGTCACTCAGCCAGCTTTCATACCTAAGGCGGGAGTAGAACTCACAATCTCCTCCCGATTGGCCCAAAGTCACCCAGTTAGCTTTCATCCTTAAGGTGGAACTCCTGGGGATTGGCCCGCTTTTCATGCCTAAGATCAGGGGTAGGCAACCTTGGCTCTTTTATGACTCGGTAGACTTCAACTCCCAGAAGTCCTGAGCCAGCATGGCTCAGCTTGGAAACCTCTCCCTTTCCCCTCAGCATGGCTGGCTCAGGAATTCTGGGAGTTGAAGTCCACGAGTCATAAAAGAGCCAAGGTTGCCTACCTCTGGCCTAGGCCGCTTTATGACTCGTGGACTTCAACTCCCAGAATTCCTGAGCCAGCCTGGCTCAGCCTGGAAACCTCCCTTTCTCCTCAGCATGGCTGACTCAGGAATTCTGGGAGTTGAAGTCCACAAGTCATAAACGAGCCAAGGTTGTCCACCCCTGCCTAAGATGGAACTTCTGGGTCCTCAGCTGGTGCTTGAACCATGACATCAAACTGACTCTCCTCTAGCCTGGTTTTGTTTGACACTCTCCCTTTGGATTCACAGGTGCACCGGGTTCATCTTCCAGAAGGTTGGCAAACTAGCAGCGACAGCAGTGGGCGGGGGCTTCTTCTTGCTTCAGGTGGGTTCTTGCTTGGGCTTGGGTTGATAGGCAGCCCAAGGGGAATCCCATCTGTCTTCAGCATGTTTTATCTCGGCAGTGATAGAAATTAGGATAGTTTAATAGAGCCTTACGTCCCTTGCATTTTTGAGTTGGCCGTGTAGCACATTCAGATGTGACATACTCCCCTTTTACTGCAGAACTTCCTTATAGACATATTCAGGTCAGGGACAGCCTCATGCTATTGTGTGTCATGGGATACCCTGCTGTTCCCGATGGGACAGCTTTGCTTGTAGAGATTGGGAACAGAGAACAGGTGGTTCTTCCTGTCTTTCAATAACATCGGGGCAGTTGCCGAGGGATCTTTCGTACCGCAACCAGTTTTGCAGTTTGATTAGCTATAGAGGGTGGCATCCATTGGAGCAGCCTGCAAGGGTCAGGGAGTTGAGATCCTGCTCTGCAGTAGTCCCGCTCCTTCCTGGGCAGAAAATGTCCGCCGTGCATGCCTTTCTTCCTTTGTCATGAAGTGAGTCAGCTAGGGCAGGGGTAGGCAACCTTGGCTCTTTTATGACTCATGGACTTCAACTCCCAGAATTCCTGATCCAGCATGGCTCAGCTTGGAAACTTCTCCCTTTCCCCTCAGCATAGCTGGCTCAGAAATTCTGGGAAAGTCCACGAGTCATAAAAGAGCCAAGGTTGCCTACCCCTGTCCTAAGTCCTCCTGTTCTAAGCGGTGAGCCTCCTAGACCAGGGTAGGCAACCTTGGCTCCTTCATGACTCGTGGACTTCAACTCCCAGAATTCCTCAGCCAGCCTGGCTCAGCTTGGAAACCTCTCTCTTTCCCCTCAGCATGGCTGGCTCAGGAATTCTGGGAGTTGAAGTCCACCAGTCATAAAAAGAGCCAAGGTTGCCTACCCTTGCACTAGGGAAATGAGCAAATGGTCCAGGGAAACCTGGCTTTACGTGCAGACATTTGCTTCATGAAACCTTTCCTCCCCCCCCCCCCTCCAGCTTGCAAACCACACAGGATACATCAAAATCGACTGGAAGATGGTGGAGCGAGATGTAAGCAAAGCTAAGAAGCACCTGAAGTTTTCGGGTAGCACCTCCAGCAAGCTGGCGCCAGAGATGAAGAGCCAATTTGATGAGGTGAGGCTGAAGGCCAAGCCTGTGAAAAGATGGGTTTGGAGAGCTGATTGCTGGGGTGTAGCAAAAAAAACCACGGAATAATTGTGCAGTAAAGAAGGCGAACTGAAGAATTAGGGTGAGCAGTCCGCGGTCCTCCCAGGACTGTGCTTTCCTTCCTAGCTAAGCAACAGTTACACAGCCGTTGAATATCGGCGGCACAGTTTTCTCCAGCATAAAGGCAAGATACCCAGACATAGAATACAGAATAGAGCTGGAAGGGACCTTGGAGGTCTTCTAGTCCAGCCCTCTGCTCAAGCAGGAGAAACTATACCATCTCAGACAGGTGATTGTCTAGCCTCTTCTTGAAGTGGTAGCGGGGGAGGGGAATGAGCTGAACCGGTGGCAGCACTGCACAAGCCTGAGCAAGAGATGGCTGGAACTGCAGGGCTGTCAGGGCTCAGCGGAAGTGCCAGGATCAGCACTTCTTCGGGACTGTCAGGGCTCAGCGGAAGTGCCAGGATCTGCAATAGGCTCCAGCTGGAGCTCAGCGCTGATCCTGGTGCTTCTGCTGAGCCCAGAAGAAGCGCCAATCAGCTGGAATGTTGCAGCATCTCCAGGGTCTTGTGCTTTACATTCAGGTGCTTGGCAACTGATTCATATTTATGACGGTCACATGTCCCAGGGTCATGTGAAGTGACCAAAACCTGCTGCAACCACCCAGCAGACGGGGGGAATAAAAACCAAACACCCCCCACCCCACCCCCGCTGCCAATCCTCAACAGAAATGCTCCCAACAATGAAAATCTCGGACAGGAGGAAGAGCGCGGCCGGGTGGGCAGGCAGGTGTCTTGCTTGGCTGTGGCTCAGGGGGCACTTTTTTCAGGGCCATTGTAACTTTGAACAGTCACTAAGCAAACTGTTGTAAGTCAAGGACTACCTGTACTTCATCACTTTTTTCCTTTTTTTTTTTTTTGGGTCATCAAGTTTTTGACACCTTGCTGGGCGACTGGTGGTACTCGGATGTTGCCATATCCTAAAAGTGGTACAAGTGAAAAGGTTGAAAAGCCCTGTTTTAAAAGCTCTAGCAGTGGAAATACGAAGAGTCCAAGCCCAGCCCCTGTAAATTTTTCCTTTCTCGCTCCAGGCCATCGGTTTTCTGAAGAGGAACGTTCTGCTGTCTGGAGGCTTCGTTGGTGGGTTCTTGCTTGGCATGGCTTCTTAGGAGTCCTGCCCAATCGGCCTTTCCATCTGCTGGTACTGCGCCCATCTTCTGCTTGATTCCTCCAGTGCCCGGTTTGCCCACTGAAGCACTCAGCCTCCTGACTTGCCTTTTTTTTTTTTTTGATACCTGCAAAGTAGCACCTAGAAACACCACCACTAGCCCCCTTTCCCCCCCCCCATTGGTTCCTCCTTTTTTTATTCGATACAGGAGGGAAATTGGATTAATCTTCAGGATGCACTCAATCCCTGCCTGAGATTCCAGAATCTGCAGAATTCCCCTTCCTTCCCACAGCGTTTATTTTTCCCCCTTTCGCTGGCGTAACCTAGACACCTTACTGTGGAAGGGGACCCATAGCATCTGCTTTTGCGTTCACCTTCTCATTAAGGGTCAAGAGAACTTCCTGCACCTCCTCGCAGACCACAGAAGCCAGCAGGTCTACAGGATGGGATGAGAGCATATCCTGAAATAACTGCCATCTAGAAATGGCCGCTGCTTCCTGGCTTCCTGGCAAAGTCGGTGCTTGGGAGCAACTCATCCAAGTTTTTTATTTATACTACAGGATTACTGGAATAATCTGTGGAAACTCTTTTGACTGCTGTGTGGGATTCTCTGTAGTCCTCCATGTCTGACTGGAGGCCTGGAAGACTCGGCAGGGCTGCCTATCAAGGAAAACATCGTTCGTGGTAGCTCTGTGGAGACAGTCAAAGTAAAACTGGCTTCTCCGTGGTGGGGTGGCTGCAGGGTTAGAGTCTGGCGCTTGCAGCTGTTAAGATAAATTCAAGTCTTGGTAGCAACTGCTTGTGAATCACGGGAGTGGGATTATGTGGAGGGTCTCGACTGTCTGGTTCAGAACTCTTGAGCGGTGGGCTGCAGGGTGAAGAGGGAGCTGGGTAGGGGTCCTCCTGCGTCGGAGGATTAATTTTAGCTCAGAGTGAAAGGGGCAGAATTTGTTTCCCTTTATAGCAGTGGTTCTCAATCTTTTTAATGCCGCAACCCCCCCCCAACTGGTCGTTAAGTCGAGGACTACTCAACTGGTGCAGCACCGTTTGCAGAATGGGACTTTTGGCGGGCTCAGCAGGGCAGAGACAGCCTGGACAATTCCTATTGGCTTTTGAAAGCCAATAGAATTAGACTCTATTCAAGAGAGTCTATTCTATTGGCTTTCAAAAATCAATAGAATAAAAGGGAGTAGCACAGCTAAGGAAAAGGGGGGAAAAAATGGCGGACTGCGTTGTTTGGCAACCCCCGTGAAATGGTCGTTCAACCCCAAATGGGGTCCCGACCCACAGGTTGAGAACCACTGCTTTATAGGAATGGATATTGAGCGGAAAGATATAATGCTTTAGGTGTGATTTCTCCTGAGGTTCTCACCATTTTATCCGTGGGATAATGGCATTAGCTCATAGACTCATCCTTTCCCCCCCCCCATCCCTATAAATGCATGCATTATTGAATAGCGGAAAGCTTTCTTGGCCTGCAACTTTTTTCATTGATCTTAGGTAGAACTCTGTGTCATAAAGACTTAACGCCGTCCTTAAGAGTGTTTATAGCAATAGCATTTAAAATTATATACCGCCCTGTAGTACTTGCAACGTTCTCTGGGTGGTTTGGAAGGTAGAAGCGTTATCTGCATGTTGCCCCCATCAATCTGGGCCTTCATTTCACCAGCCTCAGAAGGATGGAAGGCTGAGTCGACCTTCAGCCCTGTCAGGATCGAACTCCTGGCAGTGGGCAGAGTTTGCTTGCAATACTGCATTCTAACCATCATCGGGGCTTATCATCATAGGTGCCCCCAAGGCTCATATGTTTCTAAGAACATACAGGACTATGTTTCACCTTGCGAAAACTCCATCCTCTAGCTTTATGAGACTATCGGAGGAAAACAACCAGCTTGATATTCTGACAACTTAGAATCTCCGGAGTTAAAGGCAGACTTGCTTTCATGGCAAATCACTGATCTCCTGACCTCAACCAAGGCAACAAGAAATTAGTGTTTCTCAAACTTGGCAACTTTTTAAGAAATGAGGATTTTGCCTTCCAGAATTCCCCAGCCAGTATACCTGGGGAGTCCACGTGTCTTAAAAATCGCCAAGTTTGTGAAGCACTGGTCTTGAATAATGGCCTTTCCTAGTAGTTGAGCAAAGATTAAGGGCCTAAATTTGTGACTGCGTGTATTCATACCATGTGTCTTGTGTCATTCCTGCTTCCCAAAGAAAATCTATGATCACTGTAGTCCTTGCGCAGTAGAATTCTGAGCACTTGCAGGACAGGTTTTAACGATTTCAAAGATCCCCAGAACTTCTGGTGAATTTCAGTGAGACTAGAGTCCAGTTTCAAGGTTTTTATTACCTACCAGAAGATGCCTAAAATAATTTCCATGCTAGGAAGTCTTTAAACACAAGAGGGAGCTTGAATAAGCCGACTGACCTATTCGGAAACATGAGAGAATAATGTCACCCTTTGGGGATACAGAATGGATGCAGGAAAAAAAAATATATTTTAAAAGCATTTCAGTAGAAGACATTCAACTGACAGTTCTTTTATATAGCACTTTGGATTTAGTCTTCTGTTTAAATGTTTTTTAAAGATTTTTTTTTCCCCTTGCAGGAACATAAATGGCTCACTTGTCTACAACATTTTAAAACAGATGTGTCTTTCTTCCAGAATCGCACAACTCTTACTTATGATGCAAAGACATAGTTGCTTTGCAATTAGTTACCGTCTATATAATCCAAAGGCACCTTTAGAGATTGAAGTTAAAACATTATAGAAGGTGGGTCAAATTTAATTTAACTGGCTGGGGCACAGTTGCAAAATTGAATACTGAATCCTATCAGCCTTGTGTGTCAGACTTAAGAGGAACCTACGGTTCTAGGTTTTTATACAATATTCAAATGTTTTGAAGTGAGAATTAAATGGTTTTTTGGAGTCTATTTATTCAATCTGTATGCCCTCAGATCTCTTGGAAAATGGAAAATCTCTTAGAAGTGTGAGGTTCATGTATTTTTTCAATTAAGCCTAGAAGAATTAAAAGGAAAAGGTTGAAAAAGATTACGATTGTAATTACTCATAATAATTTTGTCTCGTGTGGCTATTGGTGGTTGCTGAATAGTGGGCAACCTGATGCTTTGTTAATTAGTTTATATGATTGATTAATACCAAATATTCTATTGTATGTCCTATAAGGCAGTGGGCCTATTTCATATACAGATCTCTTTTCTTATAATTTGCAATACAGACATTCATTTTTATTAAGTCCAGGCTGTACCGCAAATAACTGTCCCGCAAATAACTCTTTTCCTGAACTTGGAAAATCCCAGTCAACTCAGATCACAGCTCCATATTATCATTGTCTGGCCTTGAACTGTAACTTGCATGATTCTGGCTGTGCTAGTTGGGGCACACGTCTATATCTGGTTTATACTGGGCTGGCAATAGGAAAACAGGACTCCGTTCTAGAGCACTTTTTATTTTACTTGCAAGAGCTAGAGAATAAGCTCAGAGCCTTGTATATAACAAAACCAGGCACCATTCTGCTGAGCCATAGCCTCTCCCTGCAAACTTCCAACAAATCGGATAACTTCTTCAAGTTACTGAAAGAGAATTGCAGATATAAAATACACATTCTGAGGGTTTTGTGGTTTGACTTCGGCTACTGAATGTCCTGCCTGTGACATTCATCGGATTTGAAATAAGGGGTTATCTCTGCAATTATTTGGACCGCTAGTAACGATGCATTTCTCAGTGACCTAGATTTCACTCTTAAGAGGAGAAACTTAACTTGCTCCTGTCATCCGCAGAATTCTGTCCAAGAAAGGCAATTCAAAATAGGTTCGTTCTCTTGGGCCTTAAGTATTAAGATAACATGACCGTACCCTTGTATGGATTGTGTATTTATTGAATTGCAGCAGCTTATCCCACCAGCTTTGCCAAAGCCCGCTTGTGGCGTACACAACATTGCAGTTATTTTGCGATGGTTTCCAACATGGAGGAGGCACAAGATACAGAACAGCAAGAGTTGTAAAGGGTGCTCCAAATCCCTTGGGAAACATTGGACTAAGTCAGGGTGCTACCCTTAAACATTCCTATTCCATTCACAGAAATGGGATTTCATCTGCATACATAGCAAAAGGTTGAATTTTAAAAAGAATACTCGCAACTCTGGCTTTCCACAAAGTGCCTATTGCTTTACAAGTAGGGAAAGGGGGGGGGGGTAACACAGCACACAAGGTAGCTATCCCTGAAATCAGCTGCTTCTACCACAGCGTTACATAAATCAACATTGTGCAATTGGAGTTGACCGCTACTGAATCAAAGTCCGGAGAACTAGGTGGTTTTGTCTTACCTTTTCCCAATGAGAAAACCTGGCACGTTCGGGTAAACTAATGGGCTAAAAAGCTGGCTCTGTGGGCTTTAGTAGTTGCCAACCTGTTCCTGTCTAGCGGAAAAGGACAACCCTTGAACAGAGCGAGAAACGACCGACTTCACGAGCGTGTAAAGTCTTTGCGTTTCAACAAAGGACCCGCTTTACCTAACCACACACATAACAAAAGATGGCCTGAAATGGGACGCCCAGCCAAACGGCTGGATTTCACCTTCCAGTGGAATATTGCTCTTCTGGACCACAGAACAAATGACACGGACTATTCACAAATCGAGGGGTTCTACTCCAAATCTACTTTACAATAAGGCTACAGCAGTAACATCGTTTTGACAACAAAAGTGCTAGGAGCTCTACTCTTCCGACAGGCGGGCTTGTCGTCTTCGGGTTTCCGTGGGCGTCTGGAAGAGGAGCTGGCTTGCGCTGTGGGAGCAGCCCTCCCATGCAAGAGAATAAATTGAGGTATAGCGCGGTAGCTACGTAGACGGCAGGTAAGGCTGCTCGGCCCTCCCGGAGAAGGGGCGTCCTCAAGACTGCAGAGGGTGAGATTGGTTGGAATCCGGTACCTGCTTCTCTCTCTCTCTTTCCTCCCCCTTAAAACCTGAACAAGAGAGGGATATGCCCTTGGGGTACTGGGCACAACACCGTCTCATCTCCTGGAAGACAGCTTCGCATCTAGATTCCAAGTAGTTGTTTGCTGGAACGAAAGAAGACCCAATGGTGAGTGGTCTGTAGAATGGAAGGTGGGCAGGTAGCATCCCCTTCAAAATAAGCCTATGACCACAAACGAACATGCTCCGCGCCATTTCCAAAAGTCGTTAAGGCAGACATGTCAAACACAAGGCCTGGGGGCCGGATGCGGCCCACGAAGTGGTTTCATGTGGCCCGCGAAGCCATCCTGGAAACAGTGAGGGAATGGCCCCCGCTGCCTTGGCCCTGGCCCAGGCCGGCTGGGAGCCAATGTACAATTTTGTAGTGGCCATCTATGCTGAAACGCATTCAGTCTTAGCTCCACAAGGTTGTCTGGAAACAGCGAGGAACCAGTCCCTGCCTTGTTGGCCCTGCCCCCTAGGTGCATGCTGGGGAGGTGTCACCCTTTGTGAGGAATGAAGAAATGGACCATGCCTTGGCGCTTGCCCCGGTCCCACCCCCTTCTGCCAGAGACCCTCAGATCTGTCCCACTCCTGACCAGGCCCCCACAGGCAACCTTGATGTGAACGATGTAGAGCTGGCCATGCCTACCCAGTAGGCCACACCCACCCTGGGCACACCCATCCGGTGTGGCCCTCAATGAAATTGAGTTTGACACCCCTGCGTTAAGGTCTCCAGAAGATGTCATCAAATTTGCAATTTTTCAACAAGGCAAGGAAACAAAATGACGTTCATGACTGCAGTAACTACGTTTAATGTTAATGCACACAAGTTTAATGGAAATGAGATCGGGATACTTGGGTTTCTTCAAATTTTAGCGGTATCAATACGATATTATACCAAGTCTCCCGCCTTGAGCAGAATGTTGGACTAGAAGACCTTCTAGTTTCTACAATTCTCAGTCTATATCCGGGATGAAGGCTTTAATTACAGGCTACAATTTAAGCTGGCGCTTAAGAATTGCTCGCAGAGCACCAGAAATTCACACAAATATAGACCAGATCTGACCTCTGTAGCGTTTTGTTGTTCTGAAGGGCTTCAACATTATTAAAACACAGCAGGTTGTAAAGGCAAGACTACAAAGTAGAAAATCACAGCAAAAACTATTTCCTCTACCAATTTAGGATAAACGTGAATAGCTAAATTTGGAAGGAAATCTTGTTTACTCCAGAAGCAATTGCTTTCACCTCCACGACCTCAGCAAGCAATTAAAAACTGCACAGGGGCTGCTGGGAAGTCATATGCAGTCTATGGATAGGGGTACAGTTTAAATTATTTCTGCTAATAAGTATGAAGTTTAAAATTAGGCTTTTCTGTCCTCCCCTTTGATGATTATTTTGATTTCGTTGAATCTATATTTTCTAAAGATGCTTTGAAGGGCCTGGAAAAGGCATCTATTTACCTAACAATAATTCAAATGCTACGAAATCAAGAGAAGCCACTTACTTACCTTGCAAACATTTCTGGATTTCACAGGCATGTTTCTTACAGGGGTCTTTTGCAGCCATAATCAGGGAACTAGAACAAAATTCAGAAAGGAAAATATTATCCTGGCAAACTGAAGGGTCAACGTTCCTAAGGCCCTATCTAAAAAAAACAACAACTTTATTTCTCCTCCCATCTATAATTTGGTAATAGAGGATCCAGCCAGTCAAGGATTTACTTCACCCTCTTTACGTCCATTCTCTTGCTCCTGTAAAGGGTTACTTGCCAATCTCCCATGTGTCACTGAGAGAGCTGGCAAGAGTCCAGATGAGTTCTGCCTTCCCCAAAGCTTGCCAAGCAAGAGAGAACATAGAATGGAGACAGTTCTAGGATTACAATGCGCTAACTTGGTTTGCTTAAACCCAAAATAAAATCTGATGGATTCATGCAACAAAACCAAAGATCACCATAACAGTAAATAGACTCATATTGTAAACTAAGTCATAATCAGACTTTGTTAGCTTAGTGTGATAAATAAACCCAGCCAGAGAAAGATGATTTCTCCTTAATAGATCCTGGGATTTATCAACCGCTAAGTTGTTAAGTTCCTTTTCTAAATTTTGGAATGACACTTAGAAAGACACAGCCTTCCCTTATTACGAACCCCATTAAACAAACTTGTTGGATAACATGCACTCAAAGGATGAAAACTAAAAGATTGCATGCGTTGGAGAAATGAGTGGAACTTGAATCATAGTTCCTTGTTCATGAGAGGAAGGAAGGAAGGAAGGAAGGAAGGAAGGAAGGAAGGAAGGAAGGAAGGAAGGAAGGAAGGAAGGAAGGAAGAAAGACATTTTGAAAACTAGATTCTCCCCTCTGAGCCACTGGTCTCGTAAAAACATGTAGGGAACAGTATAACCCCTGGTGATGCTGCCAGAAATTAATAAGATGAAAAACCAAACACACAACATCCTTGGTCGGTAAAAGAACACAGTATTTGTCAAGGCGGTTCATTCAAGGAAGACGTTATGACCTGCTTTACTGGATCAAGACCAGGGTCCATGGGGCCCAGCCATCCATTCTGACCTTCCCCTTGCCCCCCACTCCCCCCAGGCTTCTGGAAGCTCTGCAAGCAGGAGGGCTGAGACCCTTGCCCTTGCTTGTTACTCCGTGGTATTCCGACCAGCTTTCCAGCAGGGAAGGGGCAGGTCCAGTCTGCCTACCTAAAACTGCCCCTCTGCTTTCAAGTGGCCCATGGGACTCTTGTTGACTGCCTGTCCTAAGCTGTTGAGTGATGCTGCTCTGGGCGGTTAAGAGAGTTGCACGCCATGGTCTGCCTCAGGGGCAGCGGCATGTCGAGTGCTAGGAGGTAACACATAAAAAACAAACAGGACACCATCCTACAGTTGCAGCTCCTGAAAGACAAAAGCCGGCATGAAAGAACCACCGTGAGTAAAAGAAAGCAGAAAGTAAAAAAAAAAAATATGAATGCAAGGAAGGTGGGGGAAGACGACGAGAGGAAGAAGAAGCTCACCAGATCTAATTGCTTGTCAGGAGTCTCAACAGCAGCTCTTCCACTCCCATGATCTGCAAGGACCCAAAGACGCATTTATTGTAGCCCAGCCAACGGACGATCATCGGGACTAGATGTCCACCAACTCTCCACTGGGCAAGGTTTAGTTTGCTGAAGGCAACCTACCATGAGGTGATGTTCAATGCCCCAGATGCGAGAGTTACTATCCCGGTACTGCAGCCCCTCTGAGAGCTGCCACATGTGGGGCAGCCGAGAAGCAGGAAGGCGGCTGGGGCGCACGGCTTCACCCAGGGGGACGGGGATTCTTCTGATCCGGGCTTTCAGCGTCCCTCCTTCCTAAAGGAGGGAGAAGCACACAACGCAATCGCGACAAGCTCAAGCCAAAACCAGTCTAATCAACCTGGGCAGGGAAGCCAGGAAGAAAAAAGGGCGCTTACCTCTTCTGGTGCCACAAGCCATGTTGCTTGGGTCTCATCGCAGTAGACACCCATCCGTCGGACCCAGAGGCGGACAGGTGGGACTTGGGCGTCGCCACCTCCCTCACCTTCCTCCATGCCCTGATATTGGCTAGGAAGGCCCGCCCTGGGTTCCCATGTCTACACGTCCGCCTTTACCTCTGAGCAAAGATAAGCAATTGTTAGTCTTGCAAAGAGGGGGCGCCAGGAAGGAGAGCCAGGTTGCATGCAGTGTCCTAGCATCATGAAGAGCATGTTTAAAAAAAAACAAAAGGAAAGAGTTTAAGAAATGTGTGCCGGTCACTGTCCCTTTGGAGAGATCAGGTGGATTCCATTGGAAAGGTCTTTGGAGAAGAAAAGTGTGGTCAGTTATGATATGATCTACCAGTTAGGACCAAGTCAGTCTTTCTCAACCGGGCAGGAGGTGTGGACTTCAAATCCCAGAATTCTCCAGCCAGCTGGGAATAGAAGTCCACGCATCTTAAACATTGCTGAGGGTGAAAAACACTAATCCACATGCTGCTATCACTTGAAATGGCTTTTAAGTGTTGAGTAAAGTAGACCTATGAAATAGCAGGAAGGACAAAACTCTCTCTCAAAAGGCACATTATTTTGCCTCTTTGGGGTAAAACGGAATTGCTAAAGAGTTGGCAAAGTACAGCAATATGAAAATTATTTAGTATCCCAATTGCATGAGTTGTATGGGTGTCCCACAGATCTTCCAGTATAAGGACAGACGAACTTAGCTCTTCTTTTGGGCCAAAAAACAAAAAAACCCACAAGACGCAAACAAGTATAATGTACTTTAAAAGTGAAATTCTTTTTAGCATTTTGCTTTCATGTACAGGACAAAGCAGGAAACAAAAATTCAGTAGTATAAGCAAAGGGGTGAAAATGTTGGGAAAGGAATATATATTTCTAGTATTTTTTTTTTTAATCTAGCATACTAATGTTGAACTGAGTGGCTGAAAAATAAGGGTGTTCTAAGCTGCTAGGAAGAAGAAACACCCATCAAAACACTTTGGGTAGCAACAGAAAAGAAAGCTGTGTGGTTAACCCCTTCGGTGGCAAACTTTGGAAAAACCATTTTGCATTTCATCACTGCAAAGAAATGCAGAATAGGCCAAGCAAGGTGCTGTTTCTATGAGCTTAAAAATTCTTCCACAACCTCTTGGGCTCAAATGACTAAATATGCCGAATGTACCAAGAGCTGCTCAGATTACACAATTAAGGACAAATCCACACTATCGTGTGAAATTTTCCTCAAGAAACATGTACTCCATATAAAACACCCCTCCCCTTCTCTCACACATGCGTATACACACACACACACACACACACACCGGTGCAGCAAAGTTGGGCTGCACAGTCAACATTCAAAAGACCAATAGAATAAAAAAAAAAAATGCTCATGCTTCTATTCTGGCAGCACTCGGTGCCCTAACTCTCACCATGGAACTATACCTGAAAGTGACTCAGAGAGGAGAATGTTGCCTATGTTTTGTTTGAAGGAATAAAACTTTCCCAAACTGCACCTTTGGGTCCTTTCAAAAAATCTCCTATCCACCCAGTAAGAATCAGAGCATTATGCTTGCATCGCTGCAACCCCCTCATATTCTATTCGTACAATTAATTCTGACATTGGCAATTCGCTTAGGAAAAAAAAGAACACTGAAGACTAATGCTGAAGTCTGTTAGACTCCCTATTTGTGCAGAAAATATAATCAGAGGGGTAGCTGTGCTACTCAATCTGGTGATGAACTTTTTTGTAATACCACCTCCAGATTTGGAGACAGCAGCTCATTCCCCCCCTCCCCTCCCCCCATTTTCTTCTGAACTGCTGAACTTGACTTGTTATGGAACACGAAACAGACGGCTCAGCGTAGAGAAGGTAGCAGAACTGAATCAAAAGACGGATCTGTCATAACCAGCATTATTAAGCCGTGCATCATGGCTGCAACATGCAGGCTTTGCAAGCCTCTTGTGACCATGATTTGTCGGTTTCCAAGTAGTTGTACTGAAATTCAGCTATAGAATGCCAAGATTCCTGCAGTCTGCTAAACATTTATCTGGCCCTGAGACTGTTTACTACTTTTTCTTGGCATCAGTGAGAATTTGAAAAAAAGAGAGAAACGAAAATTACGACTAGAAGATATCGTTACAAGAAAAAGAATAAGACAGAGATGGAAGGCAGCGGAAGAAGTCAACAACTCCAAACTGCATCAAAAGGTGGAGACTGTAGCTCCTAGATGCTATTACATTTTATAAACTCAATTCTAAGCAATGAGATTTGGTGGATTTTTTTTTTCTTTGCAGCCCTCTTTCCCTTTTTGCAGTTCTGAAAAATTGGAATCCATTTGTGCAGTATTCCAAAATTCCTATTCCTTGTCCTGATTTCCTTGAGTCTGGGACAAGAAAGGAGATCGCTTTCTGCATAATGACCTACGGAGGCAACCCGCAACTGCAATTCCATTCCGATTTTGGAAGCCTAGAGCAGTGGTTCTCAACCTGTGGGTCGGGACCCCATTTGGGGTCGAACGACCATTTCACTGACAAACAATGCAGTCTGCCATTTTTTCCCCCTTTTCCTTAGCTGTGCTACTCCCTTTTATTCTATTGGCTTTTGAAAACCAATAGAATAGACTCTCTTGAATAGAGTCTAATTCTATTGGCTTTCAAAAGCCAATAGGAATTGTCCAGGCTGTCTCTGCCTTGCTGAGCCCGCCAAAAGCCCCAGTCTGCAAATGATGCTGCACCAGTTGAGTAGTCCTCAACTTACGACCAGTTGAGTAGTCCTTGACTTACGACCGGTTGGGGGTCGCAGCATTAAAAAGGTTGAGAACCACTGGCCTAGAGGAAGTAGGACCCAAACTTTCCCACAATTTTAATAGAAGCCTTGCAGCCCAAATCTTTCCCACCAACGTATTTTCCCCCTAAGATGATGCTATACCCGCTGGGGACGGTTTCCTGTTTATCACATTCCAATAAAGAAAGACAAGGGGAAGGCAGACTTAGCTGGTCCAGCAACAATCTAGAGACGGCAGTGTGTCACGTCAACACACTGATATCCAGCTCGTTCAAGGCCCAGCAACTGTATACCACCCCTCCCACCCCACTTGCTAGTGTTTGACCGTAGTTGGATTTCTTTCCTGTGTGACTTAGCATTCTGACCAAACCCTGATACTTGGATTAGTTTCAAGCTGAACATACTGAAAACCTGAAAAGCAGGTTTGTCTACTAGTTGGGAGCCAGTGTGTCATGTGAACCCAGCCGTGGGGGGGGGTCCTGACTTAGGTCACCCTCACCTCTTTCTGCAGGTCCTTGCTCCCTGCCCCAGAATAAAATCAGACACACCCCCAAGGTGTGTGTATATATGTATGTATGTATGTGTATGTATGTATGCATGTATGTGTATGTATATATATGTACACACATACACACACAGTAGCCCCTATCAGGCAGAAACTCAACAGGTTCGACCTTCCCTTGTGTATGTATGTATATGTACACACACACACACACACAGTAGCCCCTCTCAGGCAGACACTCAACAGGTTCGACCTTCCCTATCAGAGAAGGCGCTCTGCCTGTTGAACTGCCGCCTGCCACTGTAGCCTGGAAGAGCTTCCCTCGACCCGGGGGGCTTCGTCCTTCACACCGGGGGGGGGGGTCGCCACAGCCACGCACAGCCCAGCCCTCTTTCCCACCCAGGGGCTGAACCAACTGCCTGCCTGCCTGCCTGCCTTCCCGGGCACAGACCGACCCGGCTGTTCCCCTTCGCCAGCCACACACACACACACAAACACACCCAACACAACCCCTTCCCGGCGGAAGGGTGAGCAAAGCACGTCGGGCGGCCCACGGGAGACCCCACGGCCGCGTCTCCCTCGCCCCACGGCCGGACGCACGCAGCTCGCGCTGCCCAACTCCCCCGCCCCCCGGCCGGAACCGACCTGGTGGTGCAGCGGCGCCGGCGGAACCCACGAGAGCTTCAGCCGAGGCTCGGTCGGCCGCTTCCGCCGGGACGGACCGGAAGTCGGCGTTGTCCGGGCAACGCGGGCCTAGGCGGAAGGGCTGCTGGACTCGAGCGCCGCGCGCGCCGGGCCAGGCCGAGGAACGGGCCCGCCGTCGGCCCGCCTTGACAGTCGCAGTCGGAGGAGAGCGAAGCCGGCCGGGATGGCGGTGCAGGCGGCGCACTTGGAGGCGGACGCCTTCCTGGTCTGCTTGAACCACGCACTGAGCACCGAGAAGGAGGAAGTCATGGGGCTCTGCATCGGGGAGGTACGGGCGCTGGGCCGGCACGGACGCCGGACGGCAAGCAGAGGCGCAGAAGTGGCCGGCGACGGGCTCGCCCCGCTGGGGCCACGCAGGGCGGGGGCGAAGCCGGGCTTGGCCCGGATCTGGCGCTGAGAGGGAAGCCGACGTTTCTGGAGTTGCTTGCTCTTTAGTGCTTTGATTATTGCGTTTTATCCCGCCTTTAATCATATTTAATTATAGAACATTTATTAAATAATATCGAATATGTATTAAAATGTTCTACTAAATATTTTAAGGATTAAAATAATGTTATAAGTTTATATAGCGTCCAGTTATATACACACACACACACACACACATATATGTATATGTGTGTCTGTGTGTGTGTGTATATATATATATATATATATATATATATATATATGCATGTATATATATATATATATATATATATATACACACACGCACATACACATACATACTTGTGCAATGCATAAATCTACAGGGACATGTCAGCATTTTTTTAAAAATGGAGGCAAATAAGATGATAGTAAGGTAGAATAATATAGAATAATGTGAAATAATAATAATAATGAAAAATCATTAAAACAACGATGTGTCTGCATAATTACTGGAATAAAGCTGTGTTAGCAATCTGTGACTAACCAAATGCGCATTGCACTTGGAAACAATGTATGTAGCGTAACTGACCATTGTATGCCTGTGAGAAACTAACCTAAAGTAATACAATGTGTATCACTAATGTGTGCTCCTTTGTTCCTGAGAAAAGAAATGTATAAAACTGTAGTTTGAACCCTCCCTCAGTGTTCAGAATTGCTTGTCTTCACTGCTTCTGAACCTTGCGCAATAAATCTCTCTGCTAAACCCTTTGGAATTCCTAAAAATCTCTTTCCTTTTTTACAAGAATAGCTTGTAGAGATCTCTTTACAGTAACCTGATGCAGAGGCTTAGTATATCATGCAGATAGCAACGGTGAAATGTATCTTGTGTTGTATTGCCTATCCATGATTTATTTTTCCTTCTTTGTTATCCTCAGGTTGATACAAGCCGAATTGTTCACATTCACTCAGTGATCATTCTGCGTAGGTCAGATAAAAGAAAAGATCGCGTGGAGATTTCTCCTGAGCAGCTCTCAGCTGCTTCAACAGAAGCAGAGATATCTTTTTACCAAATTTATAGTTGAATGGTGGTTTCAAAGCAGATACATATTTGCAATCTAGAAAAGAGGCTTCCAGATATGTAGTTTTAATTCATTTTCCTTTCTGTACTGCAAGAGGAGTTTACACTGAAGTGTGTTTACTTTGATTATTATCAGTATTTGTTCCTAATGACCTTTCTTGCTTGTTTAAATGTGAAAAAAATTTTATGGCGGGGATTTATTAAATTACTGTTTCGATGAGGCTTCAGATAAATGTGATTTAGAGCTGTTGAACTGCAGTATAAAAAATATGCTTACTGTTGTACATATTTTTCTGGTAGTTTTTTGAAAACCCTTAACTAACACACAGATTGGCTGAATTAACAGGACGGCCCATGAGAGTTGTAGGCTGGTATCACTCTCATCCTCACATAACAGTGTGGCCATCACATGTAGGTAAGACACTCTGTCCTGTAATTAAGAGTAAGGTTCTCAAATTGAGTAGGTAACCATTTTTTGGAAGGTTAAGATCAGATGCTTGAAATTATTTTCTTTCCCCCCTCTTTCCCAAGACTATTTGAATGAGTAAAATGTTCTAATGAGAGCCTTTGCTGACTTGGATAAGATTTGAAAGGAGTCACTTAAACTGTTCTTTATGCTTTATACTTGATAATTAGCTCTAATTAAATAAGCTATACTTGGCTGGCAGAAAAAAAAATCTGGCAGTTGGGACTGGTGGGCAGTTCCGGCCCACCAGAAATCAGAATCTTTGACTTCTGCTAAGCTGTGGTTCTATCCAATCTGATTTAAGAAGGTTGAAGTACAGAAATATTTCAGTGAAGCTAAACTGTGTGTAACTCTTCTACGGTAATATGTCTGTGTTGATGATCCAGCACTGATTCTCACATGTAGCAAAGCAGGACGCTATTTTGAAAGTTTAATTTATTGAACCCTTATCTAGAATTGATTATATTGTCTTTTGGGAAGTGAAAAATATACTGCTTTAAATGCACTGGGAATCGGTGTTTTTCAAGATAGGATTGCAACCAAACAAGCAACTGATTTCTAGGACTCTGTCTGTACAGTCCTCTTACTTTCACTAATAGCTTTTATGCTCACCTTGATTTTGATTTTAAAAGCTCCTCTATTTGAAAAGCTTCTTTCTTGGAGCTTTCTGCTGTTTCTGGAAAAAGGGAACATTTCTTTGGCTTGATCATCTGGGGTGCTGATAGTCCTGTGACTGCCATTTCTGCGCAGGAGTGATGTTTGAAATCTCATACCTTTTTTGTTGTTGATTTTCTACAGATGTGCGCACACAAGCAATGTATCAGATGATGGACCAAGGCTTTGTGGGGCTCATCTTCTCTTGTTTCATTGAAGATAAAAATACAAAGGTAAATAGAACAGAACTAAATGGCACTTGGTCCTCTGATAGGACAGGTGTTTTGCTATCTGACCTCATTCTGGAATAAATGTTTCGCTCTGTTTCTAATCAGCCTAGCCAGAAGCTGTTAAAATGTAATGACACTCCTATGCTTTTAATTTCAGCACGATTTGCAAGAGCATTGATTTTAAAATTGTGTTAAAAAAATATCCTCCAGATATTTTTTCTTTCCATGCATGATGTAAATTGGGTGGGTCAGTGACCCAGTACAGAATCATAAAGTTTAAAAAGTACATGAGCTCAGCTAAACAGGATGGTAACTTCGCAACAATCTGTTCAACTGTCTGGCTTTCCCCCCCCTCAAAGCATATGTCTAGATATCCAGGGTTCCTAGAAAAAACAAAAGTGATTGTGTAATTTAGCCATGAGTTTCAAAAATGATTGATAAATCATGGAAGACACTACAAAGATGCCTTGAGATAAGATAATGTTTCCTCAGGTGAATCTCTTGAATACTTAGTTGAAGGTTGAAATTAATGTCTCTGAACTTCACTGTACCCATGGATGAAATCGGTGAACGCTGATGAAAGTTTGTCCATGAGTGTAATGTGTTTCTAGTAGATATAACCGAACATTAGGAAAGAAACAAATGACAAGGAAACCTTTGGTTCAAACTAAGCAGAGTGTGGAATGTGTGGTCACATCTCAAGTATCTGGTTTCATTCTGGCTAGAAAGCAGTGAGATAAATATCTGATCAGAGTGCAGATTGAGTAATATGACACTAATCTCTATTTGATAATAACGTGTCCCTCAACAATTTTTCCTCTTCATACTCCCAGAAAATGTTTTTTTGTCAGTAGTGGAAAATGGGATTGGGTGGATTTGAAGTAAGCAGCTAACATTATTTGTAGGGGCGGGGGAGGATGTGTGTGTGTGGAGAGAGTCACTAACATAACTTCACACCATCAACTATTATTATCTTTCATTTGACACAGACCGGCCGGGTCTTGTATACCTGTTTCCAGTCCATTCAAGCCCAGAAGAGCTCTGAGTAAGGATTTTGCTGAACATCAGTTCAGCAAGCTTAAAACTTCTCTCACACTTTTCTTCCAATCTCCAATGCATGTAATTGTGTTGTCTCTATAGTAAACTATGTGAAAAGATGTTCTTTACAATGCTCTACTTTGCCAGTTACTGATCGCCTTTATTCAATTCCTTGTGTGTACGTTCACACTTGGCCAATAAAGAATTCTATTCTGTTCTGTTCTAATCTTCATTTCTCTATTCTATTCTATTCTATTCCGTATACCGTATACCGTATACTGTATACCGTACTCTGTTCTATTCCATATACTGTATACCGTATACCATATTCTGCTTTGTTCTGTTCTGTTCTATTCTATTCTATACTGTATACCGTATTCTGTTCTATTCCGTATACCGTATACCATGTTCTGTTCTGTTCTATTCTAATCTATTCTATTCTATATAAAGATTCTATCCTATCCTATCCTACCCTATCCCTTGTTCTGTTCCTTATTCTATTCTATTCTATTCTATTCTATTCTGTTCTGTATTCTATCCATCTGCTAATACTCTGTGACAGCTATTTTGCCCCACATTTTATGTTATGAAGCAGAATATTATTCTATTAGCTGAGCTGAATGAGGGTGAATGCAGCTGTCAGTGGGATAATCATGAACATGCTATGTACTCCCGTTCCCGCTAACAACGGTTAATAAACATGATTTGTTCAGCATTGAAAAGAAAATCTATAACAAAGCAGACAGGCCTCTACATTCACACATAGGCAGTGCGCATGCAGAAGTAGGACACCTCTTCCATCTGAGTCTCCTCCACCACGTTCCTCCCAGGACCAGCAAATAGGAAAAGACAGTTACCCAAATGGCCTTTAGAAAGCATACGGTTTTAATTTTTTTTTCTTTCCTAAATTGTGTTTGTATGACGCGTACACATTTTCCTCTCTAGGTACGAAAGGATTGAAATCCCGATCCATGTCGTCCCTCACAACACCATTGGGAAAGTTTGCCTCGAGTCGGCTGTGGAACTGCCCAAAATCTTGTGTCAGGAGGAACAGGATGCATATAGGAAAATCCACAGGTGACGTGAAATCCAGCTTCCTTTTTGTGTGTGGCGATCCTCAGCCACCCAGGCCGTGGTTGTCCCAAAAGGTGCTTTTTCGAGAGGCAACTGATCTTCCTTCGTTTTCCCTTGAAGATGTTTCACTTCTCATCTGAAAAGCTTCTTCCGTTCTCGTCTTCAGAACTGAAGAAGCTTCTTGGATGAGAAGGGAAACGTCTTCAAAAAAAATAAATAAGGTCCAGTTGTATCTTGAAAAAAAGCATCTTTGGGACAGCTTCCTTTTTCCTTTTTAAATCATCTGGGCAGGGTGGATAGTCTACACTCAGCCTTCCAGTATCCCATGCACACACCTCCTAAAGCATCCAAGAATGTATTGCCAACTTTAAGCAGCAGACTGTCTCACTATGGACCGAGAAACATCAACATGAGGATAGAAGTGGACATGCAAGGGCCCCAGAGGTGAAAAGCCACCAGCCAACATGATAGTAGCTTTTGATATTTAAATGAAACTTCTAGTAGAGAGAGCCATTATCTTAGTGACCAGCTACCAGTTGCTAAGGAGTGGCTGTGAAAGGATGCACTTCTCTGTCTATTTGGCTGCTCACTGGGGAAGAAGGAGCCTTGGTGGAATGAAGCCTTTGAAAGATGGATTACATCAGTGGTTCTCAACCTTTTTAATGTCGCGACCCCTCAACCGGTCGTAAGTCGAGGACTATTCAACTGGTGCAGCACCGTTTGCAGAATGGGACTTTTGGCGGGCTCAGCAGGGCAGAGACAGCCTGGACAATTCCTATTGGCTTTTGAAAGCCAATAGAATTAGACTCTATTCAAGAGAGCCTATTCTATTGGCTTTCAAAAGCCAATAGAATAAAAGGGAGTAGCACAGCTAAGGAAAAGGGGGAAAAATGGCGGACTGCATTGTTTGGCGACCCCCGTGAAATGGTCGTTCGACCCCAAATGGGGTCCCGACCCACAGGTTGAGAACCACTGGATTACATTATAATATACAATATTATTACAATAATATATACATTATAATATACAAAGCAAATAACTGACTGCAGTCACTGTGAGAATAGCATAATGGTGAGTTGGGGAGGGGGGCAGCAATATCAAGCAGTTCAGTAACGGCCAGAAGGTAGGAAGAGAAAGACTTTAGATTCGTTTTATCTGTTTCATTCTCTCTCTCTGTCTTCCTCTCCTTCTCCCTTACGGGTCCCTTCTAATTAGGCTGAAAACATAGCCGTGATTTTTGAGGATTGCTGTCAGTGTTTCGATCATACAGGTGTATCTTCTCTTCCCTTGTTTAGCCTCACCCATCTGGATTCCATAACCAAGATTCACAATGGCTCAGGTAATGGTTTTCCACCTGCCCAGAGTTTGGGGGATGCTTTTCAAGACTCCAAAAGAAGTCATTGGGCTTCCAGCTCCTTAAACATCTGTCTGCTGGTTAAGGTGGAACTAGTGGGGAGGAGCTAACGGTATTTAACACCAAGAGGTGGCATGATCCATATTGCATGGGGCTGAAAGTTCCCCAGGCCTTCCTTCCTGCACCATTTTCTCGCGGTATCTTTTGGAACGCCTGCATGTTCAAAGCTGCCCCCTTCTTTTCTTGCCAGTCTTCACGAAGAACCTCTGCAGCCAGATGTCGGCCATCAGCGGCCCCTTGCTGCAATGGCTGGAGGACCGTTTGGAGCAGAACAAACAACGGATGCATGAACTGCAGAGGGAGAAAGAAGAGCTCTTAGAGGAACTCGCTGCCTTGGAATGAAGAAGGCGAAGGCTTCTGAGCCCCTGGCTTCGGCCTCATCTGGTCTTGCTGCTGCTTCTGCTGCCCTTTCTTCCATCTTGCAGCCATGACTGCTAGAGAATGCCAGGGCCCCTCTGCTCAGTGGCATCCCAGGGCGGTGAGGATTCTGTTGAGCAGGACACCAGATACCGCAGAAGAAGAAGGAAAAAAACTTTTTTTACATGGTGGACTTCATTTTTTTTTCTTTCTTTAACATAACGGGTCTTGAAGTTGTCAAGGTCAGATAAGTATAAGCACAGCAGCCATTGTCCTTATTGCATTTGGTAGCAACTAATTCTTGATTATCTCGGGATGTACCGTTCTGGTGAGTCTTCAGAGACACGCGTTAATTCTTTTGCCTCGTTCTTGTTCCTATCATGTTTCTGACTGCAGAACAAGGATTTTGCAGGTCTTTCTCTTTTTCAAGTGGAATAAAGTCAAATGATTCGATTCCTTCTGAATGTTGTCCCCTTGCAGCTCCATTCCATATAAAGGAGAAAAAAAAGGCAAATAATGCAGAAGGGTCAGTGAATCTAACTGGCTTTATAACCAAGTTTCATTCCATATAAAGAAAAAATAAAGGCAAATAATGCAGAAGAGTCAGTGAATCTAACTGGCTTTATAAACAAGTTTCATTAGTAATAAACCTTTGAAAACCTCAGCTGGACAAAACCATCTTAGATTTTCTTTCCAGGACTCAAGGGAGCAAAATGAGTTGATTATGAGAAAAGGCTTTCCAGTTTTAAGACGAAAAAGGGAAAAAGTGAAGAATCTGTATAGGCAAAACTGCTCGATCTGTGTGTTGCTAGTATCTAATAGCAATGTACAAATAACCTTTTTTCCTGTCTTCCTCTACTTTCCACCTGCAATTTGTGGAGAGGGTGTTACTCTTTCATACCACGTGGCTTGATTCCATCTCTATACATCTTTTTCAGGGTCTCTCAGCTAAACTCTCTTAATATATTTTATACCGTACCTGGCAAAAATCAGTACTACCAACATGTGTTTCTTCAGGATGCTTGTCATGTCACCTTATCAAAATGTTTGCACCCATGTGACTCTTTTAATTGAAGTGATTAAACAAATCAGAAAGACCCCTGACCTTGGCTTTAAGGTTTAAGGTTTAAACTGCAATCCTTTGTTTTTTCCCTTAGCAAGCCAAAACTGAGAGTACAGACGAACCAGGCACTGAAAATCTTCCTTATTAGAACAATTAATCAATGAGTCTGCTTTGGCCATAATGCTACGGACAGAGATAAACCCCGCATATTAGGCTTATAGGCCCTGACGAGAAACAAAAATGAGTTTATAACATCTGAATTGATGCATTGGTAGTTCCTTGCTGGGATTAGTGTTGGCCATTACACAAATGCTATTCTGAAAAATGTATGGACATTGACCGGGTTTCAGAGGATGCCAAAGATGGGGACCAGGAATCAGCAGAAGGCTGCCTGTGTTTTTTCTTTTTGTCACTTGCCTTCAGACTGAGAATGTTAAGACTGTCTCCCTCTGCCCTTTTGGCAGTAGCATTCTCCCATTTCATCCCTCAACCTGCTGGTGCTGCAGAATGCTCAGCCTTGAAATCCCCTCGCCAGTGATCCAAGCAACTGCTTTCATCTTCCCCCCCCCCCCCATGGCTCCCCTCTTGATGAGGAGCAGAATCTGGCCTTGAAGAACTGAAGTATCTCAAAAGACCGGCTGCAGCTGCAAATTCTCACCACGCACTTCTCTTAACAAAGCAGCTGTGTTGTACAGGAGCCCCTATCAGCCATTATCCCAGACAAAGATGATTAGGGGACTGGAGGCTAAAGCATATAAGGAACGGTTGCTGGAATTAATATGCAGAAGTGCTCTTGAACCTATCTGTGGGGGGGGGGTTTAATTCCATTGCAGTGGTGTTACTATAAGCCACCGCCGATGCTGCAAAATGCAATGGAACAGGAGAAACAAACCCATGATTTGTACATCTCCCATTTATTGCCAAGTTTATTTTACCAGGTTTTTCTGAGCGAAATCTCTCCTCTCGCCGGCTGGTGCCCCTTGCATGCGTCGACAAAAATGCAAACAATTGAATGTGCTATTCCTGCCTTTACTGGAACAATCAGTCCTGGAGGCACCTTTTTTTGTTTTTTGGGCCAACAAGTTGTTCCGTTAGCATAACTAGAAGAGGAACTATTTCCCCCCCCCCCCCCACACACACACACACACGTGCCACTGGCATCGGCTAGCAGGGTCCGAACGGCTTTTGAAATTCCATTTGTTTCCTCTGCCTTCCTGGATACTGTTTACAGCAGGCTTGCTGGGTTCATAGCTCCCTGGCAGCTGGCCGGCCTATTTATAAACACTCCCGGGGAGGTGGAGGGAAATGTGATTCACGAGCATAAAGCACCAGGCTGCTGCACAAAAGAGTGCATTCCTCCCTCATGACACAAAGCTTAGCTTACACCTGTCATTTCTGAACATTAGAGGGGGTGGGGGCCGCGAGAAACACAGGATCAGTGGACCCTTTATTAATCCCCTCTTGCTGTTTGGCCCTTTTTTTAAAAAAAAAGTTTTTAAAACTTTGCAAGTTTCAGTCAGGTTGTCCTCCACAGAAAAAACAAGCTATCAAGAGTCCTAACAATAGTACGAACTTTGTAAAAAGGTCCACCCGTTTGTCTTCCTTTTAATTAGTGCATCTCTTTTCTCTGGAACGGATGTGGTTTGAAAGCATAACTATCCCTTTTTTTTTTTAAACCCCTTTACAATTCAGTTACCTAAATTGCAATCCAATATTTCTAGCTTAGGCTTAGACATAAGCCTAAGACTGAAAATCAGGGCTATATTTTTTCTATCCTGCTCTATGGAGTAGAGAGTTGGTCTCTGACAGAAGGCCACCTGAAGAGACTAGAAGCATTTGAAATGTGGATTTACAGGCAGCTGTTATGTATAAGCTGGGTTGACAAGATCAGAAATGAGGTGATAAGCCGCCTGGGAAAGACCAGGGAAATCATCAAAACAATTAAAAAACTGAAAATTAGAATATTTCGGACATGTGATGCGACACCCAGAAAAATACGGCATACTCCATTTAATCCTCCAGGGAAAGATGGAAGGCAAATGAGGTCCAGGCAGAAGAAGAACATCGTGGCTTCAAAATCTAAGGGACTGGTTTGGACAAAACTCAGCAGCACTTTTTCGTGCAGCTGCTGATAAAAACAGGATCGCCAACATGATCGCCAACGTCCGATAACGGATATGGCACAAGAAGAAGAAGAAGAAGTTTCTAGCTTGGGATGTAATGGTTTTCCAAGAAAAGAGACGTGTTATTGTGCATTTGGGAAAGTGATCCATCTCATTCTGCAATATTTGAGTATCTGGGCTAAAGTCCTGTTCGAAGGATCCCCATGCTCCGGGAAGATTATTCAGTCTTATTCTGTCCTGCTCTTTTGCATTCAGATCATGTCTTCTGCGAGTAAACTCTTCATCCCCAGTATACAACAGAAGAATGTAACAACGGGGGAGCTGGATTAGACCACAGACTAAAAAGTTCCCACAGTAGCCAGCCAGATGGTGGTTTCAAATCGCCCTGTGTTTATTTTGTACACAATTTAATTTTAATTGCAGTGCAGTACATTTTGTTGTCCTTTTTTAACCTCTTCTGTTTTTATCATTTTTAGTGGCCTCCATTCCCACCACATCTTAATGTCAAAATAAACGTGCTAAGGCCGACTTGTTTGTTTAAAGCCTTTACACTCTACCCTTATATTAATTTGTTTATTCCTTTGAAGCATTTATATTCTACCCTTTCCTTCACTTGTTTTTTTTATTGAAAAGTTTTGTACAAATTTATTATTACAATACAATAACCCTCCCACCCTCACTTCCCAGAGCTGATTGCAGGGTTACAAAATAAGCAAACAAATTCTAACTAAGCTTATCTAACTATACCAATAACCAAATCCCCAAAAATACTTTAACTCAAATACAAACAACTCCCAATTTAAACTATGAGTTAATCAAAAACTAAATGATACTTTCTAATCCCATATTTATTCTGTACAAAATTTATCCATCTTCTCCACACCGAGATGTATCTTTCTTGTGAATGATCCTTCAAACAGGCAGAGATTTTGGCCGTTTCTGCTAAATTAGAGACTTTAAACGACCATTCTTCTATGGTAGGCAAAGAATCTTTCCTCCAATATTGCCCAGCCAATAGCCTTGCTACCGTAATAAGATTCAACATTAAAATAGTTTCTTTAACATCACAATCTTCAATAATACCTAACAAAAACAATTGTGGTGTAAACTTTATCTTTCTATTAAAAATCTTCTGAATGTTCCATCAAATCTTAATCCCAAAAGCTTTTATATTTCTACACGTCCACGAAATATGATAATAGGTTGCATCTAAGCAACCACATCTCCAACACTTAGGCTGTAAATTAGGATACATGTGAGACAATGTTTGTGGATCCAAATGCCACCTATAAAACATTTTGTAAAAATTTTCTCGTAAATTTTGAGCCTGAGTATACTTCACATTCCCAACCCAAATTGCCTCCCATGTATCTAGTAAAATTGTTTCATTCACTTGTTTAAAGCACTTCTCTGCCACTTCTTTACATTAATTTATTCCTTGATTGAAAAACGCTCTCTCTTCCACCTCTTTACATTTGTTCATTTGTTTATTGAAATCACTTCTGTTCCACCTCTTCGCTCCCGTTCATTCCGTTTAAAGCATTTCTATTCCACCTTCCCCTGGAGAAACTCCAGAAAGCCTACCCCAGTCCCTCTCCTCAACAACAGCCCTTTGAGGTAGGCTGGGAAAGAGTACAGAGAAGAGCAACAAAGATGATTAGGGGACTGGAGGCTAAAACATATAAGGAACGATTGCTGGAATTGGGTATGTCTAGTTTAACGAAGAGAAGGACAAGGGGGGACATGATAGCAGTGTTCCAATATCTCAGGGGCTGCCCCAAAGAAGAAGGAGTCAAGCTATTCTCCAAAGTGCCTGAAGGCAGGACAAGAAGCAACGGGTGGAAACTAATCAAGGAGAGAAGCAACCTAGAACTAAGGAGAAACTTCCTGACAGTGAGAACAATTAATCAGTGGAACAACCTGCCTCCAGAAGCAGTAAATGCTCCAACACTGGAAGTTTTTAAGAAGAGACTGGACAGCCGTTTGTCCGAAATGGTGTAGGGTTTCCTGCCTGAGCAGGGGGTTGGACTAGATGACCTCCAAGGTCCCTTCCAACTTTACTACTATTACTAAAGGGAGGGAGGAAAGGGAGCTGGCCCCAAACCACCCGGAGAGTTCCAGGATCAACTGGAGCCTTAAACCCTCGATCTGCTGGATCCAGTCACTCCACCCGCACAACTTCTACAATTGCCAAGCCTTGGGACCCCTCTGCGCCCAGGGCAGGCTTCACCGACTTGGCTGGCACGAAGAAATACATTTAGAAATCCTAAATAAAGAG